AATGGCGGAGTCAATGCGTCGGCCCACTCTCGTGGCGATACCCCGCTTGAGTATATAAATAAGCCTACCATCCGGAACCAGATTGGGTCTCTAATACACAGAACATTCGACTGCAATTACGCTTATCAGGATTACCCACAGTTCTATCAATTCTACCTAGCGCGTAAGTATTCAGTGGTTTTGGTTCTCCTTTGCACGAGCTCATCAAGGACCGCGGAGGCTTCGATGATCTAAGTGCGCGACCCACGCCCTCCGACTAGACACCGAATTCTGCCTCACTTCGTTTTCAGTACACATACGCCATTGGAAAGATTGCTGACGGTATCCAGGACATGGCGAAGACTCCTTTTCCGTTCGAAAGACTACCAGCTGAGCTGCGTGCTGAAGTCTACAAAAACCTCCACTGTACCACGAAGTACGCAATAGCGCGACGAGACGATATCAGAACGCCGGTGGTTGTCGTCAGATTCTCTTATATCGAACGCGCTATAGTCGCTGTGTCAAAGGCAATCCGAAACGAAGCTGAAAAGGTCATCGACGAGGAAACCCAGAAGTGTGGCCCGGCTCAGCTCATCGCAGACTGCGATTACTTCCACTTCGTCCCTGAAGTCCTTGACGATATTCGAAATGCCCGACAAGGCTATGTTCCACCGAACATGGGACTGGCCGATGACGAGCGTGAGAATTTCGATACCATATTCACCCGCAGAAACCTAGTGGAGCAAGCTCGGATGAACGCGGTTATGTATCAGATGTGGACCCGCCTCGCGAATCTGTACCTCAAGACGAACGAGCGAATCGAGGTCGGTGTCTGGATTGGGAACGATGCCGCTTGCGAGAAATTTGTGGAACTGCTCCCCTCTGCCATCGACGACATCATCAACCCCCGCTGGGACGCGTCCGACTCCGGCATGTATCGTCCCAAGTTCGCGGTGACAATTGAATGCTCAGAAGAGCTTGACGCAGCTGTGGAAGACATTGTTCAGGATTTCAAGGATGCGCATTTCGAGGTTAGCGAAGAACTGGAACCGGAAGAGATGGAGTCAAGATGGAGCCTCAAGACCTTTGACGGAGTGTTTGAAGAAAAGGAGCTGTCTAGTGACGAGTCTAGCGAAGATTCAGATGGGGAGTTGGATTAAATCGAGGATGAAGAATGGGTGTGGAATAAATGTGAAATTGGACAATGCGATAGATAGAGAAAACAAGATGGGCTACCAGAGTTGATTTGACATCTGAACATACAGACAGCACCCATAAATGACTACATCAGACTTTTAACATAAAACACGCTGTCTATACATCGGCGGTGAAGTGTGAGTGGTGAAAATGAGTCTCAAAGGTTGGAGCTTGGCAGGTGCTAGCCAGCTACCGACGCCAATCCACCTAGCTCCCCGCCTTCCACCAACCACCTGCATCCCCCACGCAACTACTCTCCATCGGGATCGCGATCGCTCGTCACACGCGACTACTACAAGGCGCGTTGTATCGCGCAACCAGCCTCTCTAGGATACGCCAGCTGTATACGATATCGAAGGAAAGTCGACCTTTGTCGCAAACAGCTATGCGCACCTGCTGGATACAGCGCGATCTCTCAGCAAGAACGACCGCCGTTACCTACAAACACGGAGACGTTATCGAAGCATTGCGACATGCAAGCGTTGCGATACATCGTTGCCAGCTGGAAATAGCCAAGCGCAGTGGGTTCCACTCGCCCGAAAGTTCGGCGAACCGGCATCAGCTCAACCGCACGAAGGACTTCGTACCCGGATATCATTGGCCATGGCGATGTACCCAACGAACAACACTTTGGACCATGACAACTCAAAGATTGTAGTATCGTATCTGTTGTCTTCTTGGACAGCGGCAAACGCATCGTCGACCTTCTCGCTATCGGGATATGCCGTAGCATGGGGGAAGAGCCCCTATCCGTCCCACATGGACCAGCAAGTCCGTTCGCGCCGCCGTCGTTACCGGTCACCGTTTGCGTTGCGGAATATAAAGATATCTATCTGGCAAACCTCCATCAATCAGCGAATCAACAATTCGCTTCAAATTTGAGAAAGATCTCAACAACCGGGCTTGTGGTTTAGTGGTATAATACTCCCTTAGCATGGGAGTGGTCCAGGGTTCGATTCCCTGCAAGTCCATCTTTTTGCGCTCGTCGCCGTCGCGGAGTGTCTGCACGACGTTAGCGGTGTTGGTTTTCTAAGGATAGAATTTTTAGTTTTGACAATATAAGTGGATTACGAAACCATCGGTTTGAGGAGCAAGTAGGCAAAGTACTACTCACAGTCTTACGACCCACGCTATACTTCGCTCCAATTCTTGGATCTGGGACATAACTTCCGGCACCAAGTGATTGCATCCACCGTTGGACATATATCCGTACCACGCTCAATCAATCCCCCGTCCCACTAGCTGTTCGACGCAATATACACTCAAGGAAATAGCACGTCGATTGGTGTGTGAACGAAATTGCGCGACTGAAAGCCAGCCATCAGTCGTGCAGGTGCTTGAAAGTGCTTGTTGAAGATAGCAAGGGGCCTCAACATGCTCAGTACACCATGGCTTTCTTCCCAAGCGTTGCATACGGCTCAATGTTGGAACATTAGCGTGTTCGTGATATTGCTGCTGTGCAAAGCACTCACAGCGGGTTCTGGCAGCGCCATTGTTGCGCAGCTTCTCGAGCGGACCTCGGAGTGAATTGTGAGACCATGAACGTTCGATCGGAGCAACTGTGCTGCAACCCCGAGTCCAAGAGAGGCATTCCACTCTCCAGTTGCGGGAGTTTGCTAGGATACGGAGGATGTTGATCAACATCGGACCTGAAAATGTAGCGACTATCCCCGTTAGGAGTATATTGATTACTGACGAGCAGCATACACTCGCTAGTTTGTCTTGCAATCATTACACCGAGTTTTCGGGGGACCAACTACGCACCAGCGAGACACTACACCATTCGGCCGAAAACTCGGCCCTCCCTCTCGTATAAGAGAAACAAGATGGCGGTACAAATGTCATCACAAGCACTTAGCAACACGAATCCTTTCAATCAAATTAACACCAATCCCGTGTCTCTATCCATTCCACCGAACACGTCCCCATTGTCCAATATGGTCAAAATCGCAATCGCAGGCGGTGCTGGAAGTAAGTTTCCCGCGGATCATACCGACGGGATGAACTAACATCTTTCCAGACGTAGGGCAAGAGTGCATCGATGCTCTTCTCGCCACGAAGAAGCACGAGATTGTGATTTTCACACGCAATGTCATTACCACGTGTCTCTCACCTTACTTGATTCTGACACATCTTCCAGGATGTCCCCGCCGAGACTACCGACTCGCCCGTCAAACTAGTGAAAGCCAACTACGAAGACGTGGCTGAACTGACTAGTCATCTGCAAGGCGTAGACGTAGCACTATCTTTCATCGCGCCACTGGACCTGCAACAAGGGGTTACCTTCCAGAAGAATCTCATCGATGCCTCAATCAGGGCTGGTGTAAAGCGTTTCGTACCCAGCGAATGGGTCTCGTAAGTCATTGCAATCGCCCACTCTTCTGCGCTTGCTAACCATAATCTAGATCCACCTTGGAGCACACGCCGTGGTATTCGTTCAAGGACACGATACGCGAATACCTAGCCGAGATCAACAAAGACAGAAAAGTCATCGAGTACACTCTTTTCCAGCCTGGTCTCTTTTCCAACTACTTGACCGTTCCATACAAGTCAGCCAAACATCTCACGCCGCTCCGGGTGATGTACGATTTCGAGAATCGTAGGGCCATCATGCGAGAAGGCGGAGACGATGATACCATCGTCTTGACCACGGTACAAGATCTCGCCGGCGTTGTCGCGCGGGCAATCGATTACGAGGGCGAATGGCCGGTCGTGGGCGGCATCCGAGGCTCGCGCATCTCCATCAAGGAGCTCATTGCTCTTGGCGAAGAAATAAGAGGTCAGTCCTTCGCCTTCTTCCAGCTCACATGAGCCGTGCCGCTGTCTGCTTGTTTACTAATAAGATATCACAGGTGGAGCCTTTGCCATCGAAAGACTCTCCAACGAGGACTTGAAAAAAGGGAACTGGACTGCCTCCTGGTTACCGGAATTCGAACATAATGCCGTCCCACCTGCGATGGCTAAGGAGATGGCAAAGATGGTACTGATTGGCTTCACTAAGGCTTTTGGGGCAGGTGCCTTCGATGTGGGAGATGAATGGAACCGATTATTGCCCGATTATGAGTTCACAGATGTGAGGACATTTTTGCGCAAGGCATGGGAGGGGAAGCCGTGATGAGGCAGTCAAATGAACCATGCTGCGCAGCCGGTCTTCGGGGTAATGCGATGGCGCAGACTAACTGCAGTAGTAGTAGGTTTCTAATAGCGAACAATGTACTGTCTTTACTGTGTAACCCGGGTCATCGTAATACAGCTTTTCAAATTGGAACTACCAACTTCGACATCACGAGATTGCAGTCGCACAAAGAGGAAAGTTTTGGTACGACCTGTCCAGAGCTTTCGTCCGAGATTCGAGCGAAGCCTAGGTAGCCAAAAGGGCCGAACACCAGTCCCCTACTGCACCAGCCACTCTCGTCACTTCCCTCCCCAACCTCCATCAACACATACTCAGATATGCACCCGTGCCCCTCCCCGTCACCTGAGACCAACTCCCATGAAGATGAAAGAGCAGCGAAGCGGCGTAAAGTACGTAAAGGTACTCAAAGTTGCTGGGAGTGTAAGAAACGGAAAGTCCGATGCATCTGGGCATCACCTACCAAGTCCAAATGTAGTAACTGCGTGCGACGCAAGACAGACTGTGTTAGTCAGGAGTTTGCGGATGAACCGAATGAGAACAAGAGGGGAGATGCTGGATTAGAGACGCGTTTGGGTCGGGTGGAGACGTTGCTTGAGCGACTGATTGGATCGTCGACAGACAGGCGCCACGACATTGCTGACGAGTATCCGGGAGCTGCAGTCCTGGAGAGACCGAGGAGCGTAATAGTATGTGTAGCGTGCTGGGGTCTATCCTACATTCATCTCTGACACTCACAAGGATCACACAAGAAACATCAACATCACATCATCCACCTCCACAGAAACCACATCAACACTCACAGATCTCTCGCAACGACCAGAAACAGCACTTGTCGATATATACACTGGCATATCGCGAGACCTCGTCGCAGCATGGCCTACAGCCCAAGATCTCGACTACATCTGCAAGCTCCCTGTCAGCATCTCCACGCACATGCACATGAAATTAACGACATCCTCTGCAAACCTGATGAACCAGGTTCCAGATAGCCCAGGAAAGATATTGCAGCTACCACCACCAGGATCGCATCCAGTACTGATAGCGCGGAAACTCCTTCTACTCAGCAATATAGTGCAGGGCGCACTATCCGATGACTGTATACCCAGAAGCCAGCGCGAGCATCTCAGTAAAGTCATGGCTCATGCCATGGATACAGCAACGCGACTGGTGACATCCAATGACGAGCTAACCGCCTCTGTCGAGGGCGTCGAATGCATCATGATCGAAGCCATCACCCAGAACTACGCTGGGAACCTGCACCGCGCGTGGCTGACTGTGCGCCGCGCCGTTGCCGTAGCGCAGATGTTGGGTCTGCATCGTGGTAATGCTAAACGAGCTTCTATCAAGGTGGTGGATCCCAAGACGCGCGAGAGCCTCGATCCAGACCAGCTGTGCTGTCGTATTGTGGAGATGGATCGCTACCTCTCGTTGACACTGGGGCTGCCGCAGTCTTCGCTGCAGACGGTTGGGCTGAGCGCTGAAGTTATAGCAAAATGCCATCCGCTGGACCGCATCGCGAGGCTGCAATGCGTCATTGGAGATCGTATCTTGGCGCGTAAAGTAGGAGAGCCGCGCGATATCACGGAGAAAAGGGTCCGGGAAATTGATGACATGTTTAGGGAGGTGACGGAGCTGATGCCGTCGGACTGGTGGCTTATTCGAGACTTTGACAACAAGGACGGGGGCGAATCGGATCCGATGCATGAGGTTGTAAGGAATATGTATCAGCTGTCGCACTTCTACCTCGTTATACGCCTGCATCTGCCGTATGTTCTTCGCTCGTCGGGCGACGATAGGTGTGAAGAAAGTAAAGCGACAGCTGTGCATGCTGCCCGCGAAATCATGAGTCGATATATCGCGTTTCGCAAGTGGAAACGCGGTCCGTATTATTGCAGAGGAGTCGACTGTCTGGCTTTCGTCGCCCTCATGGTGCTGTGTTTGGCCCATATCGATTCGCAGAACCAATCGATGATTCGGCACAAAGCACTTTTCGATCATAGCCGTCCGAGCGATCGCGCTTTGATGGAGCGAACGGTCAAGGTATTGGGGGAGAGGAGCGACGATGCTCTCGCCACGAAGCTATCGAGTATCATACAGTATCTTCTCGACGCCGAAGCGGCATCGGCAAATGGGACTGGCTACAACACTTCGGCTAGTGAGACAGACGATGGGATGGCGACGGAGTTTGATGGCCAGTTCATGGACGCTGAGAAGGCGGTCTTGCAGCTTCACCTGCCGTATTTTGGCACCATCAGCCTACAGCGCAGGCTAGCCTCCGATATCCCGTTGGCTGAGGAGATGCTGTCTACTCAGGTAGCTGACCAGACACAGTCATCACTCACGGAGTGGGACAATCGGTGGTCGTTCCTTGATTCGTCGAACGATGCGGGGGCGCTTGATGACTGGACACTGCAGAGCATCAACGAAGGTCTTTTCGGGGGACTGCTTGGCGGGTTGGGAGACGTGGATTTCGACCCTGGGCTGCCTGTAGATATATAGAAGCAAGGGAAATCCAGACGTGCTATGTTGCAAAGCACAGTAGAAATGTTCCAAGTCACGTTTGTACCCCTCTTTCCTGCCATCTCGCTCATTGAAGATGAATTACGCCACTTTATCTACCATAAGAGTGTAGCTAGGGTATGCTTTTCGGATTGTTCACTACATCGTTCACAGTAGCTAGGTCGAGGTCGTCCATTCGCCCTCGTCCGATTCTCTATTGACCGCAGCGACGGAAGAATAGAGAGGCAGGCGCGACAGGTGGGATATTTCGCCAAGCAGATACACTATATCAAGCCTAGCGCATCACGTAAGGAACGTGCAAAGTACAAATACGTTCAGCACGGCAAGCGCAAGTAAGGAAGAATATTAACAGCTGAATCACTGCAGTTTACGTTAGACTGACTGCAATCTCAGTCAACAGATTGCTGCATGTACAAATGTACATTCTCGAAACTGTTCAAGCAAGTCCTCAGGGACATGGTATCCTCCAAAACCGTAGCTCTGTGCTGTAGAGCAATATTTTAAACGCCGGAAAATGCAATGGAACAACGCCAGTATACGTGGATGGAAATCATGCTCGTCGTTTGCCGATACGGCCGGGGCCGCTGGGACGTCCACCATTGGGCTTCAGTGCACCCTTGCCTCGCGAGGTAGGGAAGGAGACCTTGTTCTGGGGCTTGCGTCGCAGTTGTTTCCGGGTCTGGCTCTTGTCCTTGGTCTTGCGCGAGCTCGAGCTCGAGCTCTTCGCAGAGGTGGAGGTGGCGTCGACGTCCATATCTAGCAAGTCAAAGTTAGCCCTTGATTCTCACTCTACCAGTGCGGAGGAAGCGGGTCAAAGGCGAATTTGAGATGGCCGTCATCGGTGAAGCCCAGTATGTCTGAACACAGGCCTAGATGGAAACACAGATTCCCGAGTTCGCAGTCCTCTTCTGCGGGATCGAGTGGGCTTGCAGAGGGATCGGATAGGGAGCGTGGCATGGGGACAGTAAGCAGAGACGAACCTTTGGGCATGTCCTCCTTGGCGGCATCGTCGGCGGTGTTGGCTGGGACATGATTAGAAGGTGCATATGGTGGGAGACGGCTGAGCGACTCACTTTCTTCGGTCTCCATCTCAGTCCTCTCGGGCTTGGGCTGGGCAATCGTCTCGAGAAGTTTGGCGTGCAGGCGCTCGGCGCGTGCCTGCTCGACGGGGCCGAAAACTCGGGCGCGCAGCTTGGTGCGGTTCGCCTTTTTGCTGCTTGCGCGTGCGCCTTTGGCCATTGTGCAGAGAGTGGCGGGGAATGTGTGGGTGAATGGGTGTTTGGGCGTGTGTCTTGGTCACGTCGGCGGCGGCTGGTGGGGAAAAGTTCGAGGAATTTTGGTGGCAAGGCGTTTGGCGTATCAAGCCAGGCCGGCCCGTGCCCTGGTCGCGTTCTTCGCCTAGTTGCAGGTGACGCTGACTTCGGTATATCCTAGCTGGAGATGCGCTCGCCGCGAGAGCCGCCGCCTACCTCGACGGCCGAATACTAGAAAAGTCGCATTGCGGCCTCTGCTCGCCTGTTTGCTGCTCCGCGACTGTCCCGCCCGCCCGCCTGTCCTGCTCGCTCTGCATTGCCGCCGGGGGCTTTGGGAAGTTGCGACCAACGCCCGTCCGACTCGACTGCACCTCAGATAGCCGGATATCGCCCTTCGCTGCCTTCACCTCGCCCTACGTCACCCGCCCGAGAGAGAGTGCCTGAGATAGCCCGCCCCAGATGCCTTCGCGAGCAAAACTGAACCGGTAGCCCTTGACCTCCCTCTCCAACACCGCCAGCCTCTCCACCGCGACGGCACAAAACCATGGCGTCGAGCATGCAGCAGATGGCTGCCACCATCACCGAGCGCTCCAAGACACTCATCAACAACGACCTCAAAAAGATTCTCAAAGAGGAGGGCACCTCGCAGACGGGCAACAAGGCCGCACTGCAAGCGCGCGTCATTGGCCGTAGGTATCTCCGCTCCCCAGCAACACGGCTTGCTGTCGCCGCTCACCTGCTAACTTCACCCTCCCCAGTCATCGCCAATGCCGTTGCTAGGAGCGACACCGACCTGCTGCGGCGACTGCAATACCGCGTGCAACACCACGGCGAAGCGCCTCCACCAGCCACGAGCAGTCCCGTCGCCTCCTCGTACTCGCAGCCCCCTCCGCCCATCGCAAACGGGTACAGCATGGCCAACGGCTACCAAAGCAACGGCGCATACCAGCCATACCAACAGCCCCAGCAGCCACCCATGCCGCCACGCCCGACCTATTTCTTCAAGGAGAGCCCTTTCTTCGAGATTCGCGAGCTGATACTGAGTAACATGTCTCTGGACGCTTCGCCGACGCACCGTGCCACCATATCGCGTAACCTCACCCTCAACGAAAGCCAGTCCGGACGCCTAAAGACAGACCCATCTTTGCGCCTGCTGCTCTTCTCTGCGCTCGAACAGCCATTGGCGCCCTTCTCGCGTCTCGATATCGCATTCCCATCTCAAATTGAGGTCAAGGTCAACGACGACGAGGTAAAGGCCAACTACAAGGGTTTGAAGAACAAGCCAGGCTCTACGCGCCCCGCCGACATTACCGACTTCGTCCGCACCAAGGTCGCCAACCAGCGCAACAGCATCCTCATCACCTACGCCCTGACTCAGAAGGCAAGTCGGTCGGAGGTTTCTTATCCCATCAGCTTCCCAAACCTGACTCTGAGCTAACTCCTAATGCAGAAGTACAACCTGTTCGTCTACTTGGTCAGGAAGTACTCGGTCGACGAGCTCACACAGCGCATCAAGAAGCGCCACGTCATCACGAGGCAGTCTGTGCTCAATGAGAGTATGTAGTGGCCTTCGGCAGCTAACGTCTCTCACATGACTAATGTTGTAACAGTGATGAAAAAGGCCAATGACCCCGACATCGAAGTTGGCTCCAGCGTCATGTCGCTCAAGGACCCAATCTCTACCCTGCGCATTGTCACCCCATGCAGGTCGACTGTGTGCACACACAACCAATGCTTTGACGCCGACTCATTTCTGCAGCTCCAGGAGCAAGCTCCCACATGGACATGCCCAATATGCAGCAAGACCATATCATACGAAGGCTTGGCCGTCGACCAGTACGTTGAGGAAATCCTCAACAAGGCCCAGAACACGGACCAGGTCACCATCCAGCCAAGCGGACAATGGTCGACCGAAAAGGATGAGAAGCCCAAACAAAACGGGCACAATGGGCATCATGACGATAGTGATGATGACCTCATCGAGATACCAGATTACCGTATACAGGCCATCAAGACCGAAGCTGCGCCGACACCCACTTCGCTCAGCACCCCTCCACTGCCTTCTCGCGAGACATCCACAGCCCCCCGGTCTGGCCAGAAGAGAAAATCCGAAGTAGTGGATCTGACCTTGAGCGATGATGATGAGCCAGTAAGACCAACGAAAAAGGTAGCGTACACTACCCCCAATAGCCTTCCTGATCCGCCCCGTCGGTATCATTTACCTCCCCTCGGCAGTCACTCTGCCCATAGTCGTCCACTGCCACCAACCTACCATAGTGGGTCTGCCAGCATGCGTTCTGATTACTCCCGGCCTCCATCTACACCTCCACCACGCCATGGGTATCAATCCTATCGACCAGCACAGCCTGCTTCGCGGCCTAGCTATCCTGGACAGGGTACTTCCTCCTACCCTACCTACCTGGGCTCTTCTTCCCCTTAATTACATGTTGCGCGTTCTTGTTGTATCTTCCACTCATGTATGAGTATTGTTCATCCGCTAATACCACCTCGGGATCGCAGGGCAGAATAACGGGGACCAGACGAGGTAGCACATCATCCACTTAGGCCGTTCACAATATTGCGGACCGTTGCGGACCGTTGCGCCACGTGGCGGGCATTCTGCGTAGGCTGATGAAGTGAAGCTCTCTACATCATACACTCATCTCTTTCCTAATTTGTCAAGGAAACTTAGCGCGAGGCGTTTGGGGGAGGCTGCATTTCATGACCATCTATCTACGGCGTAAAACACTGGTTGGGGGCATTGAGGATACCACCGCTTGGGAGACTTGCATGCATTTCGGGAGCTTATACCAGCGACCTTCTGCAATGACGAAAGGAGCAGAAGTCGCGTTCGGAGAGGACTGAAAGGAGGTGGCGGTTCATGTACGATCGTGTAGCAGTGACGCCTTTTGGCTTCGGCCATACTAGACAGTTACCAGTATTACCGTGGGTGCTGTCAGCAGTTTCCACTTTCCTCTATTTGCGCTTACGTATCATACACCCCCACGTACTCAGTCCAGCGGTTCCGGCAAAACACAAACAACATCCTCCTCTTCCCCGTCATCCCCAACCCTCTGCCTCACCTCCCTACTCTCCAACTCCACATCATCCACATCCGGCTCCTCCCCCAAGCCATCCACCACCACCTCACCCTGATCCTCCACCTTCCTCCTAACCTGCGTATCAAACAACGCACCCTTATCAAACAGCCTATCCGACTTGACCCCTCCCTTCCTCTTCACTTTAACCTCCCTTATCCTATACGCAAAAACAAAGTCCTCCGCCCTCGTACTCTGCTCGCTCGTCCCGCTCTTCCTCTTCCAATTCCCCTCCGGTCCCACCGAAATCGGTACGCCAGACCACGCCGTTGCATCCACACCGGCGTGCACATAGACGCCTTTTTCCTGGAGCCGTTCCCTGGAAAGCGTGGTTGACGACGCTATCATAACACCCGTGATGATGTAGATTTTCTCTCTAAACCGGTGCTGCGTGATGTAATCCCTCACGTCTTCATGCCTCACCACGTCTTCCAGAAACGCGCGACTGGGTTGGAAAGTTTGTGTTGTCATCTTTTCTACTTGCCAGGTTTGGGACACGGATTTGTCGTTGCTGATGCTTATGTCTGCGCCGACACCGAGGACGCATTCGAGGAAGGAGGTCCAGATGCCGAAGGTGGTCGATGTGGATTTGGTGTGCGTGCCGCTCCAGTTATGTTCCGTGAAGGTACTTGTGTCGGTTTGGGGCGGCAGGGAAGGGAGGTGGAGGGGTTCGTCCGGTTGGGATGGGGAGGGGATGATGGCGCCGAGGCGGATGGGGCCATCGGGGGGACTAGGACGTGGTGGGGTGAGGAAGTATGTGGGTTTGGGGCTAGCCATGGTTTGTGTGGTACTGTGAGAAGGTACTCTTGAAGAGTGATGACGCTGTTGGAGACTCCGTGATGGTAACCAGGCACCATATATATAGTGAAGCGCTAGGTGCAGATGTACTAGACATGAGTCGAAGTATGCATGGTAATGCAGGGTTACGTGTGGATGCATGACCCGTGGGGCTGAGCAGCGCATGCAGCTACTGTCCAATCCTGGTGGGCTCACTTCTGCACCGAGCAGTGTCCACTCCACAAATTCAAAATCGGCTTTGAGAGGTCGCAACAGATGCTTCGCTGATCAGAGCTACCAGGATAGTATCTTCGCCATGCCTTTAGGGAGAGACTATCGTGGTTTAGTAAGTGCATTTTAGGGACTGGGAGGGGGAAACATACCCTTTCCCTACGGCTGCCGCTAGAACCAGACATCGAATCAAGCTCTACTCTACGATGTCTCTCAGGGCGCGGAGGCCCTCGACTCTTCCTCAGCCTATAGCTCCCATCTTCTTCCTTTCTAAAAGTTGCTGATCGATGCGGATGTTTAGAAGCCCGGGAAGGTTCGACAGGAAGCTGGTAATATTCCTGGGTAGCCTGAAAGTATGTCTGGGGTGCTGCTTGGGGTGCCGCCTGAGGTACTGCTTGCGCTGCTGCTTGAGAGGGTACTGCTTCGTGTAATACTTGTGGTGCTGCTGTCTCATGTTCGGGGGCCTGGAGTCGAGCAGGTTCTGGGATATATCCCCGATTATATGGTGCAGGAGGAGCCTGGAGACCAAATCTTGTAGCTATTGAACGAACTGAAGGAGCTGCTGCAATAGGTGGTGGACGCCGTATCAAACCAGATGATGGGCCAGGTGTTGGACCAGATGTTGGGCCAGGTGCTGGACCAGGTGTTGGGCCAGGTGCTGGACCAGGTGTTGGACCGGGTGCTGAACCAGGTGCCGAACCAGGTGGTGGACGCCGTATCGCACCAGGTGATGATCCGGGTGCTGGGCCGGGTGCTGGGCCGGGTGCTGGGCCGGGTGTTGGGCCGGGTGTTGGACCAGGTGTTGGACCGGGTGCAGAACCAGGTGCTGAACCAGGTGGTGGACGGAACGGTGAGGTCACTACTGGAACTGAGCCACGGG